TCTCAACCTCCGGGGCACCTATTACCTCCAGAAGTGGTTCACTGAGGCCCTTATCGTACTCATTCTCAACAACCGTTTCGAGGGCCTCGTAGACCAGCGGGGGCGCTGCCACCTTTAGCATCTTCAACGCCTTTCCAGCCGCTTGACCGATCATCTGGCGGACGCCAGCTTTCACGGCTCCATAGAGGATTCCCATTCTTCCAGATCCAGGCGAAACTCTTGCGGCAAGTCGCCCAGGGCCGCTTGGGGGGAGTGCCTTGTCCTTGGACGCGACGGAAAGAGCATCGAAGGAGGGGGAGCGCCCAACGGCGCGTCCACTACCGCTTGCGAGGGCGCCGCCGTCGGGCTGCCACTCGCACTCGCAGGCGCAGACTTCCCAGCCATCATCAGGGCTGTTGGTCTGACCTTCTTTGCGATCTCTGCCACCGAATCTTCGGCCTTGATCTCCACGTGAAGAAGCGCCGCCAACTGAATCAACTCTCCACGCAGTCGAGGTAATCCGCCTCGTGGACCCAGCAATTGGCGAACCCTTTCGCCCCTGTCCTCGCTCACCGAGGCCTTGGCTGCTTCCGCCATTTGAGCCTCGGCCAGTCGGGCTCGGACTCCGGGCTTGCGCTTCAGAGCTCGCATCCCCACTGTCAGGACTTCGTCCTCCAGGAATGCCAGCTCGAACCCAACCTTGTTCCGAAGATCGACCAGGGCCTTCAAGTTGGACGCCGTAAAGCTTTTGCTCATCTTGCATTTGGTGAGGTAGCGGCGCGGGTATGCTCCACGAGCCACCATCTCCGCAGCCTGCTCCTCCCACTTGCTCACGGAGTCCACGGATGGCACAGGAAATGGAAGGAAACGCAGGTATGGTGCTCTGATGAGCGAGAGCAATAAGCCCCAAAAGTGCCATGAAACGCGTCTTTGGAGGCGCACCACAAGGCGCTGCCATCGTCCGATTGCGAGGTTGGCTCTTTGCACGAACTCTGGAGCCAACATCTTGAGAAAGGTCACCTTGAGCCAAGACGTCTGCGAGACCTCTACTCGACTGCTTATATGCGGATGACGAAGTTCTGCGGAAACTACAGGTAGTCGATGGAGTTCTGGGGTCCCTAACTGAAGCCTCTGTTGGGGAGCATATGTGAGGATCATCTGGTCGTAGAAGGGGAAGTTCACCACAGGCTTCACTCACACACACTTCTCTTGTCCCACTTGTCGGCTTCTTGGCTCTGGCACCCAGCTTTCTGTTCAGCCAGGCTTTTCGGCTAAGGAAAACTTCAACCACCCCTTGCTTCCCCAAACTACGGAAAAGTCGTGCGGTCAACTCACGAGGGGCAGGCTTCCAGACACAAGCAGCCGGGTTCACCTCCATGGCGAAGTGTCCTGCTCGGATTGTCTGGAGTGGGTGGTTGACGAGGCCAAGGGTCTCCAAGGTGATGGTTTGTCTGGGGAAATCAAGTATACCACCCATGGCATCCAAGAAATCCTTGCCGAGCAAACCCGCTAAGCGGTTATTCGGCAAGACGCTAAACCATACCAACACAACCTGGCCCTCAAAGTTCATGGGAACCCGCACCCGACGACTGGATGTCAAGCAACCTCCGTCCCCGAAGCGGAAGCGTTCGCTTTCAGGGGACTCCTTCCAGAGGCCCTTAAACTCACGGGGGAGCGCCTTACGGATCGCCTCCACCCATGATTCTCCAGCACAGGTGCGGTTGCAGCATGAGTCCACTGCGGCAAAGTAAGGCTTTTGCCAGCTTGTCTCGACCTTCTTCACTTCCAGGACGTCAGCGAGGTCCACCGCCAAGATCTCATGGAAGCCGTCCGTATCAAGCTGGCCACCCTGCAGAAAGTCAATCACCTGGGCCTCGTTCATGTCGCCAGCTTCAGCAAAGTTCACGTTCTTGTGACCAACCTTCTTCTTGGGCTTTGCCTTCGACTTGCATTCCGGATCTCCAGCCCAGTGGCCTTTCAGCCCACAGGCGTTGCACTTCGTGTCTCGCTTTCGGGCAGCGACCGAAGTAGAACTGGACGACCTCACACCACCATCCACAGGCTTGCCATAGCCTCGGTCCTTCTTTACAGCGGCGATCTTGCCGCGGGCTTCTTTCAGGGTCATGAGAGCCTCTGCCATGTCAGAGAGGGCTGCCTCTGCCTCATTCAAACCCTGGTCATCCAACTCGCCTTCCATCTCATCCAGGGAGGTTGCCAAGGCCTCCAGCTCCTTCTCCTGCGCCTCGTCCAGATCGAGGGTGGACTCCTCAACCTGGCCTTCGTAAACTTGAGTTTCCTCCAGCTGCGCCTCATCCTCTTCTGGCTCCGGCGCGGAAAGTTCCGCAACCTGGGCCTCTGAGCGTGGCGGGGTCGCGCGAGAGCGCAGACTCCCGTGGAAGGGCTTCCTACGTGTAGACGGCGTTGTCGAAGTGGATCCCGAGGAGAAACTCGAAGTTCGAAGGCTTCTGACGGGCGCGTCGTCCATACCCTTCAAGTGGATACGCCTGAACAGGCGCAACGCTTCCTTCTCCACAGCATTGTAAGAAGGTTCTTCGCCTACAGTTGTCTCCAACAGCTGACGTTGGATCTCACTCAATCCCAGTCTCTGCTGGAATATCCAGGCATACTCAGTGTCCTGGACAACAATGCCTTCGGTTCGCAGTTCGCCTTGAAGGGTGCGATAACTTGCAGCGAACTGGGTGACGCTCTCTCCAGGTTTTCTCTTCAACCCGCCGTAAAGCTTGCTTCTCAACTCGTGCTTTTTCTCTGAACGGGTTTTTCCTGAGAGTTCTTCGAAAGCATCGAGGAGTTTGCGCACGCCTTTCTTGTAGTCAGGCTCGCGCACCCAGTGTTGTTCGCCATCGACCCCTTCACGGGATTCGCCAGGGTCATAGGCAAGATCTTCGATGGCGAACTCTTCGCCTCTTGCCCGCGCTGGGCCGTGTTGTCTGAGGAGGAACCGCGCTGCTAACGAGTAGCGGGTGGTGCGTTCTAGGTCTAACCCAGCTAACCACAACTCAGTGTTGCGCCGAAACTTTCTTAACGTGGAGGGGTCGTTGTCCCAAACGGGGATTAGATTGTCAAACCCATCCCCCCTCGACTCCCGGTCCTGCAGCGCCATTGCTCAAGCGGCAGGGCAAAGGGGTCGCGTCCACCAAGGCCGACGTAGTTCACGAAAAAACGTCCTTGTACACCTAAGTCCTTGAAGTTCGAGCTCGTACACGAAAAAGGCAAAACGTAGTTGTGGGTGTTGCGAGAGTGTAGTAGAAATTGAGGGGTAAGTTGAGGTAGTGTTTGTTGTAGGTTTCAGCAAGCCACAAAACAGACAGGCAGTCGGGCTCTCAGTGCCCGTACACAGGAACCCTCCCCACGAACCTTCGCTTCAGTGTTCTAGGGGGGTATTCCTCAGAAGAGGATGAAGGATCCCTCGCGCCTGGGAGCGGAAACGCTTCCGCAGGGGACGGTCCTTCTTCTTCCTTTTCCTCTTCGTCGTCAGCCTCCTCTTCAGAAGACCTCAGCAGCTTCTTTTTCACCCTCTTCTTCCTCCTTGCCTGCTTCTCCCTCCGCTCCTTCAACGCCCGCTTCTGCCTTTTGAGAGACCGAGCTGCAAAGTCGCGGATCACAGGAGCTAACCTCTGGCTCCTCTCGTCACACGTGTTGCAGGCTTCCCCCAGTCGGCGCAGGAGAGTCTGCCCTGCGCTCCCCGGTGGAAGAATAGGGTTGATCTCGCGCTTGATGCGTTCCCGACGCTGGCGGTAACTGAGTGTGTCCCAGTCACGCTCAAGCTCCCTCAAGGGTGCGTTGACTTGCAACCTCTTGATGCGGAACCTGGCCTTTGGTGCTACAGCGCAAGTTGCAGCACGTTTGGAAGCCGCCGTTGCCAAAGCTTGGTACCTCTCCTCGTCTCTCTCCCTGGCTGCTGCGCTCCGACCTCCTCGACGCTTAGTCTTGTTGGGCCTTCGCTTTGGACGCGGAAGCACTTTAGCGGTCAGTCCTTCTGCTTCGCGCTGCGGCTGCTGTTGCTTCTGTCGCTTTGCTTTTGTCCTGCTGTCTTTGCCTTTTCCTTGTTGCTTGGCCTTGCTCTTGTTCTTGCCTTTGTGCTTGCCCTTGCCTGTTTGCTCGCTCTTTTCCTGGTACCACCACGGCTTGTGCTTTTTCGTCGTGGTGGTTTTCCGGGTGCCCGATTGGGCGACCTCGGAGCCTGGGTGCCCAGAAGGCTACCTCAGAGCAGGAATTCCGGGCGCAGGACAATGCAGCCGCGGAATCAGAAGTGGAGGTGTTGAAGTGTGGTGAAGTGGAGTGGTTGTTGGAGACGGGCGGTTGGAAGCTCACGAAGACGAAGTTCACCAAGAAGGGTTTGGAAGTTCACGAAGACGAGGTTGACAAAGAAGGAACTCCCCACAGCAGGGACCACAGCAGACCGTTCACGCGGCGGCGAATCGGGTAGTCGAGCAGGTGGTCAACCGAGTAGGTGAGGTAGTCCTTGTGCCTCAACTCAACTCCGACGACGAGGGAGGAGGAGACCAAGTGGATATGGAAGGAAGGCTCACGGAGTGCGCGCAACTACGGGGCTACGACTACGGCGAGCCGGTACCCGAAGCTGGAGCCCTAGGAACCAACGGGGCTCCGCTACCACTGCGAAAGCTAGAGGGATTGGGTCTACTCTTTAAGAGGCCAAGAGCAAACCTTAATCTGCACCAGCTTCTTTAGCACCAGCTGCCAAAGAGCTCAAGGGCCCTGAGAGCCACGGTCGAAGAATCACGGAAGGATCGAGCGATGTGCAATCACAGCTTTCACACCCTTAACACCTTCACCAAAAGGAAACCCTAAGCCCTCAAAAGCCCACAGCCCTCAAAACCCTCCAAAACCCTCAAAACCTCTAAACCCGAAACCCGAAACCCCAAACCCTGACCCCAAGCCGCAAAACATAAACCACAAACGCTACATCCTAAACCCTAAACCCTAAACCCTAAGCCCCAAACCCTCAACCACCCCAAGCCCTGCTATTCGGGGCGCGTCGCCTCCACGCGGGTCATCGGCAGCCTCGATGTCGAAGATGTACGCAGGAGGGTCCGTGGAGTTGTACCTTTAGGCGCTAGGCTTTAGAGCTTAGGGCTTAGGGTTTAGGGTTTCGGGTTTAGGGTTTAGGGTTTAGGGTTTAAGGTTTAGGGCTTAGGGCTTAGGGCTTAGGGCTTAGGGCTTAGGGCTTAGGGCTTAGGGCTTAGGGTTTAGGTCCCTTACGTTCCTTACAGGGTTCTGAAGCATGGGCCCTTGGGTTTTATAGGGTACATACAAAGGGTCCCTATTTAAGGGCCCATTCTAAGGGACCATATAACTACCCTAAACCCTAGTAATTCGTTACCTGTATTTCTGGTTGCTTCCCTTGAAGGAACATTGAAAGAAGCTAACGGCCCATCCTAAGGTAACCACCGGAAGGACCCTTAACCCTAAGCCCCAAGCCATCCGTTCCCAAAGTGGGGCGAACGAACCCTTGACACGGCCTGGCTCTAGGATCAAGGCTTGGGGTTCAGGGTTTGGGGTTTAGGGTTTAGGGCAAGGTTTTCGATTTGCGGTTGAAGGTTTAGGGCTTAGGATTTAGGGTCTAGGGTTTAGGGTTCAGGGCTTAGCGCCTGTGAGTTTTGGGTTTAGGAGCACTGGGACATTCGAGGCCATGAGCTGGGACGACCCTACCGCACCTCACCATTGTGTTAGGGCTCAAAGCGAACACCCCCAACGCTGAAGTCAAAAACCCAAACCCTACGTAAATCTCTAAGCTTTGAACCCATGAACACCCAAAAAAACCTAAAACCCTTTCCCCCTAAACCCTCCACCGCCCAAAAATAACGCTTTCCCCCCACCCCCCCACCCCATAGGGTTTAGGGTTTAGGGTTTAGGGTTTAGGGTTTAGGATTTAGGGTTTAGGGTTTAGGGATTAGGGCTTAGGGCTTAGGGTTCAGGGCTTAGGGTTTAGGGTTGGGGTTTAGGGATTAGGGATTAGGGATTAGGGATTAGGGATTAGGGTTTAGGGTTTAGGGTTTAGGGTTTAGGGTTTAGGGTTTAGGGCTTAGGGCTTAGGGTTTAGGGTTTAGGGTTTAGGGTTTAGGGTTTAGGGTTTAGGGTTTAGGGTTTAGGGTTTAGGGTTTAGGGTTTAGGGCAGTCTTCCATGGGAGGTTGCCGCCAGAGGATGCCAGGGAGGTCGAAGATGGACGTCGCCTTGGAAGACACGGGTTTAGGGCTTTTACGGCTTTTAGGGTTTAGGGTTTGGGGTTTAGGGTTTAGGGCTAGGGTTTAGGGCTTAGGGCTTAGGGCTTTCAGGGTTGCTTAGCGTTCTTTAGGGCTTTTGGGGGGCTTTTGGGGGGCTTAAGGGGCTTGGGGCGTTGAGAGCGCTTCTGCCTTTTGGGGCTGTTGAGGCCTTTTGGGTTTAGGGTTTAGGGTTTAGGGTTTAGGGTTTAGGGCTTAGGGTTTCGGGTTTAGGGTCTTGGGTTTTGTCGGGTTTACGGCCCAAGTGCGAGACGCTAGAGATCAAGCAGGCAAGGGCGGATCGAACAGCGTGCCCGACCCTAAACCCTAACCTTAAACCCTAAACCCTTAACCCTAACCTTAGACCCTAAACCCTAAACCCTAAACCCTAAACCCCAAACCCTAAACTCTAAACCCTAAACCCTAAACCCTGACCCTAACCCTAAACCCAAAACCCTTGAAACTTTGGAGCAGGGGATTTTGAGGGATTTCAGGGGCCCTTAGCTCCCTCAATCCCTGCGAAACGCCAACTTCCATGCCTTGCTTGGATGGACATTTTAGGGTTTAGGGTTTAGGGTTTAGGGTTTAGGGTTTAGGGTTTAGGGTTTAGGGTTTAGGGTTTAGGGTTTAGGGTTTAGGGTTTAGGGTTTGGGGCTTAGGGTTTAGGGTTTGGGGTTTGGGGTTTGGGGTTTGTGGTTTGGGGTTTGGCGTGTAGGGTTTCGGGTTTCGGGTTTCGGGTTTAGGGTTTAGGGTTTCGGGTTTCGGGCTTAGGGTTTAAAGGTAAACCGGTAAAAAAACCCTACGAATCTTTGAGAAAGCCTCCGGGACCGACCACCATGAATGAGCCTCCTCGCTTCAAGTGTCGTCTACAAGGGCTTAGATTCCAAGGGTTTTGGTTTAGGGCTTGCAGGGCCCTGGAAGCCCTTCTCATGTAACTACAAGGGCTTGCGTTTCAAGGGTTTTGGTTTAGGGTTTAGGGTTTAGGGTTTAGGGTTTAGGGTTTAGGGTTTAGGGTTTAGGGTTTAGGGTTTAGGGTTTAGGGTTTAGGGTTTAGGGTTTAGGGTTTAGGGTTTAGGGTTTAGGGTTTAGGGTTTAGGGTTTAGTGTTAGGGTTTAGGGTTTAGGGTTTAGGGTTTAGGGTTTAGGGTTTAGGGTTTAGGGTTTAGGGTTTAGGGTTTAGGGTTTAGGGTTTAGGGTTTAGGGTTTAGGGTTTAGGGTTTAGGGTCTAGGGTTTAGGGTTTAGGGTTTAGGGTTTAGGGTGGAAGCCCTTCAAAAGTAACAGCCAAGGGTCGTTGTTGCCCGGCCCATGCCGGACGCAGATGCCCTTGTTCGTCGGTGAACACCTTCGGCGAAGGGCTCGGAAAAGTTGAGGGCGCCACACTTTACACCAATCAAGGATGCCTTCCCGAAACCCTGAACCCTGAACTCCAAACCCTAGACCCTAAACCCTGAACGGCGGAGGTGTTTTTTTTTTTTCCTAACGTTGGCCCTGGCTGGTTGGCCTTGCTAACGTTGGCCCTGCCATTCCTGGCGTTAACTGCTATGAAATGCAGCATTTCTGGTTGCTTGTAAGCCCAAAACGCTTAACAACACAGCGTTTCTGGGTATTCCAAAGCTTGGAATGCTGTAGGTTACAGCTTTTGTGACTTTTTGTAGGCTCTAATTGCTGAAAAATGCAGCATTTCTGTGTTCTTCTAGTATTGTAGTTGTTGTATATTCTAGTGTATTCTTGCATATTATTCAATATTCTTGAATATTGTTGAATATTCTTGAATATTCTTGAATATTCTTGAGTCTTCAAGAATATTATTGAAAATTATTGAATACTATTGAACATCATTGAATATTCTTGAATACTATTAATCATATTGAATATTATTGAATCATATTCAGTATTATTGTGTATTTTGTGTATTTTTGTATCTTATTGTTTACTGTTGTAGATTGTTGTTTCTGCTGGTATCTTTTTGCACATATTTGAGCAATGCATACTACTTATTCTTGTATATTCTGGTCCAGTATTGTTTAGTACTCTACTGCTTTACATACCGTAAACGATTGTAGAGTACTGTAAATTATTCCATATTATTGTAGACTATTGTATACTCTGGTCTATTCTTGTTTAGTAATCTATGTTTTTTGATATAACTGTGTATAGCTGTATATTACCGTATTCGATTGTCAGAAAATACTGTATCTTCTTATATATTATTGTATGTTATTGTATGTTATTGTATGTTATTGTATGTTATTGTATATTATTGTATATTATTGTATATTTTTGTATATTTTTGTATATTTTTGTATATTATTGTATATTATTGTATATTATTGCATATTATTGTATATTCTTGTAAATTATTGTATATTATTGTGTATTCTGGCATTCTTGTCTTATATGATCTTGCATTATTTATTATAAATTGCATATTGTTGTATATATTTGTATATTATTGTCTATGTTTAATATTCTTGTATATTACTGCATATTATTGTGTTTTTTCGAAAATTGTCTTTTATGATACATTACTCTATATGATTCTATATTATTGTACATTATTCAATATTTTTTGCATATGACTGTGCATTATTGCATGTTTTTGTAGGTTACTTCATATTATTGTGCATTATTGTATATTATTGGTATATCATTGTAGGCTATTGTATATTATGGTATATTATTGGATGTTGCTGTATATTCTTGTATGTTTTTGTATATTGTGGTTTTTCTATTGAGTTATTGTAAATTACTGGAGATTATTGTAAGTCCTTCTTTTTTAGGTAAAAGTATATTACTGTATATTCTTGTCTCTAATTGCATTTTGTTGTATATAGTTGTGTATTATTGTATCTTTTTGTATCTTATTGTGTCGTAATGTAGATTTTGCGAACAATGCTGGCATCATGGGTTTGGAAGGGATTCATGTGCTTTGAAGCAAGCTTGCCCGGCTTAAAAAAAAAAAGCGGGGGGGTTGGGGGGGGCGCAGCCCCCCCCATTTGTAAACACAATGCTCGCATCATGGGTTTGGAAGGGTTTCATACACTTTGAAGCAAGCTTGCCCGGCTCCAAAAGAACAATATAAATATGTGTTGTGTACTATGAATTGGACTATATGACTTTATATATATATATATATATACAACATACATGCATACATATGCTTTAATATATTTTATCATATTGTATGATATTATACGATATTATATTATATAAAATTGTATCATGGTATCTTATCTTATCTTATATCATATTATATTATATTATATTGTGCTATATGTTACTATAGTATATTATATTCTATTGCATTGAGCTATATTATATGTATATTTATGTTTATATTCGTAAAAATTATATCCTATCATATTCTATGTTATTGCAATATATTATTGGAATATACTATTGCATTATATGATATGATATTATATCATAGTATAGTATATTATATACTGAAATTTGAGTATATATTAGTATCTTATATTAAGATTTTTTATATATTAGCATAGTTTATCTTATAAATATTTTATTTTTCTAATATTATATATATATATATTACATATTATATATGAGATAATATATTATATTTTTATATATTACACTACACTATATTGTTATATACTATATATTATACTACATTATATTTTATATTATACTATATTATATTATATGTTACTATATTATATATTATCTTACACTATAATCTATTCTATTATATTATGAAATTATAATATATTATATTTTTATATATTATATATTAATATATTACATTATACTATGTTTATATAGACATACATATATATATATATATATGTACATATAAACTCTTATGCTGTACTACATAGTAACTATACCATTATCATGATTTCCAAAACAAGTACATCAATAAAAACAAGAAAATCTGACCACGGGACCCTGAAACCACGGGACCAGAGGACGAGAGGACAACGGGACCAGAGCACCAAGGAACCGTAGGACCAGAGGACCAAGGGACCAGAAGGCCAGAGGACCAGAAGACCAAGCGACCAGAGGGCCAGAGGACCAGGGCACCCGAGACCAGGGGACCAGAGGACCAGGGGACCAAAGCACCAGGGGACCAGGTGACCAGAAGGCCTGGGGCCAACGTTACCAAGGCCACCAAGCCAGGGCCAACGTTAGGAAAGAAAAAAACACCGGGCCCAACCCTGAACCCCAAACCCTAAACCCTAAACCCTAAGCCCGAAGCCCTAAACCTGTTTGGGGGTGGAGGGCCTTCCGGGGTGGCGTCCAAGGTTGCCCAGCAAGCTAGAGACCCTAAACCCTAAACCCTAAACCCTCAACCCTAAACCCTAAACCGAAACCCTAAACCCTATATAAACCCTAAACCCTGAACCCTAAACCCTAAACCCTGAACCCTAAACCCTAAACCCTGAACCCTAAACCCTAAATCCTAAACCCTAAACCCTAAACCCTAAACCCTAAACCCTAAACCCTAAACCCTAAACCCTAAAGATTGCTTCAGGACCTGGGGGCTGACGGGTCACTCGGGCGTGCTCTGAGGGCCTCTTTAATGAAACCAGTTCTTCGCAGGGAATTAGCCAAGTAGGGTTTAGGGTTTAGGGTTTAGGGTTTAGGGTTTAGGGTTTAGGGTTTAGGGTTTAGGGTTTAGGGTTTAGGGTTTAGGGTTTAGGGTTTAGGGTTTAGGGTTTGGGGCTTATGTAGGGTTTAGGGTTTAGGGTTTAGGGCTTAGGCTTTAGACTCGGGGTTTACAGGGCTTATAGGGTGTACAGGGTTCAAGGTTCAGGGTTTGGGGCAACATCCGCCACGCCTAAACCCTGAACCGTGAATCCTAAACCTAAACCCTAAACCCTAAACCCTAAAACCCTAAACCCTAAACCCTAAACCCATCCAACCAAGGAGCCACAGAACGTGCTGCGCCACCACTTCGAAGCCAGTCTGCGAGGCGTGGCAAGGGGTTTAGGGTTTAGGGTTTAGGGTTTAGGGTTTGGGGTTTAGGGTTTAGGGTTTCGGGTTTAGGACCCCAAACACCCTAAACCCCAGAACCTTACAAACACCTGAACCCGAAATCTGAACCCACGACCGCGCCCGCTCCGCAATCAAGAGCAACCGACTGACGCGGCGGAACCGTGTCACGGAGATAGCATGTGTCTCAAGCTGCAATGCGGTGCGCATGAGCTCCTGGCACTTCCGGCGCTTGCACTTCTTGGTCAAAGCGCCTCTCGGTGCCACTGCCGCCGACCATGAGACCCAACGTCGAGTTCACCATGAGCAATTCGAAACCTTCAGCCCTGGGCCCGACCTGAAAACCCTAAACCCTAGCCCTAAACCCTAAACCCTAAACCCTAAGCCCTAAACCCTAAACCCTGAACTCTCTAGATTCCCTAAACCCCACAGCAGGAAGCCCGAGACCCTAAAGTCCCTAAACTTCCTACACTCCCACACAGCCAAGTCGTGCGGATGAGCTTTCGGGTTTAGGGTTTAGGGGTTAGGGTCCAGGGCTCAAGATTTAGGGTTTAGGGTTTAGGGTTGAGGGTTCAGGGTTGAAGTTTAGGGTTCAGGGTAGAGGCTTCAAGACGACTTTCAAGACGACTCATTTAAACCCTAAACCCTAAACCCTAAACCCCTAAATTTTAAACCCTAAACCCTAAGGAACTCGAACCCCTCAACCTTCAACCCGAAAAGGAATACTAACCCTAAATCACAGCCGAGACCCCCAAACCCAAAAAGGAATCTTCAACCCCACACCCTATACCCAAAACCCCGTGCCCTAAACCCGAAACCCTAAACCCTAAACCCTAGCCCTAAACCCTAAACCCTAAGATCCAAAGGTTGGTGGGAGAACAAAAAGGTTGGTGTAGTGGCATTATATGACGCCACAGAAAGGGGTTCGGGTGCCTGTGCGACCAGGAATTTAAGGATTTTGGAATCTGGGGTTTAGGAATCTAGGGTTTAGGAAAATGGGACTTAGGATCTTCGGGTTTAGGAATTTAGGTTTTGGGAAGTTAGGGTCTAGGAGTTGAGGGTTTAGGAAATTAGGGTTTAGGCAACCAGGATTTGCGATCTTAGGGTTCAGGGGCTTAGGGCTTGGGTCTTGGCTTAGAGTGAACCCTGAACCAGAAGCCTGAATGCTTGGTTCAGAGCTTTGAAGCCCCTCCCTCCCTCCCCCTCTCCCCGCGCGTCGCGGCACGTCTGGCCCTTCTCCTTGGCCGCGACATCAAAGGGCTTCGGGTTTAGGGAGCAAGGCTTGCGTTTATCAGAACCGTAAACCCTAAACCCTAAACCCTAAACGGGTTCAGGGTTTAGGGTTTAGGGTTTAGGGATTAGGGTTTCTCATTGGGGCTGATCATGAGCGAAACCCTAAACCCTAAACCCTAAACCCTAAACCCTAAACCCTAAACCCTAAACCCGAACTGCAACCCACGAACCACGAAGGAAGCCTCAAGCCGCCCTCCGAGACCCACAGAAGAACCATCCCCACCCCCCAAATTTTGAACCCCCCCTATCCCGAGTACTGCAAGCTCCCCAGGATTCCATCGTGTCTTAGTTGCCCAATACCCTGGCCCAAAAAAGTTTAAACTTTTCTTTTGGTAGGGGTTTAGTATACCCAAAAAGTTTAAAGTTCACCTATGAGGCTCTAAGGTGTTACCTATACCGAAATATCTTTTCTTCGAAGGGTTGGGCTGCTACAACTCTAGCTCAGGGCGCTCAAGTGTTAGGCTCGATCCTTTTCCCGGTTTAGGGTTTACGGTTTAGGGTTTAGGGTTTAGGGTTTGGGATTTAGGGTTTAGGGTCTAGGGTTTCGGGTCTAGGGTCTAGGGTTTAGGGGTCCTGCTCTGCCAACCACGCCCATCGCACCAGGGGCCAGAGCTTGTAGCCGGAGGTGTCAGCTTTCTGGGTACTTGTACACTTTGTGAATCGTGACTACGCATACCTGGATTTGAAGCAGGTTGGCGAGGACGCTGACCACCGGCTCGCCACATGTTGCCCAGGAGACCAGAAGTGTTAACTATCCCGAGATATGGGCATTCCCCAAAATATGAGGGGGTACCCCTTTAATCCCCCCAAGTAGAACAGGAATCCTCTTAAAGGGACCCCCAAAAAGGGCCCCCCCTATTTTCTGAAATTCCCATATCTATTCTTAAGGGGGGGGAGGGGTACCCCTTTAATCCCCCAAGTAGATCAGGAATCCTCTTAAAGGGACCCCAAAAAGGCCCCCCCTATTTAGGGTTTAGGGTTTAGGGTTTAGGGTTGGTTTAGGGTTTAGGGTTTAGGGTTTAGGGTTTAGGGTTTAGGGTTTAGGGTTTAGGGTTTAGGGTTTAGGGACGTGGGATCTGGAGGCGGCCATGGCTCCAGGATGCGCACGGTGTTCGTCTCTCGCAGGCCCCAGCCCTCCACCTGAGGCCACGGCTGGGATTTTAGAGGCGCCAATACAGCTTATACGACTAAGGGATAGGGTTTGGAGTTTAGGGTTTAGGGTTTAGGGTTTAGGGTTTAGGGTTTAGGGTTTAGGGTTTAGGGTTTAGGGTTTAGGGTTTAGGGTTTAGGGTTTAGGGTTTAGGGTTTAGGGTTTAGGGTTTAGGGTTTAGGGTTTAGGGTTCAGTTTTTAGGGTTTAGGGCTTAGGGTTCAGGGTCATAGTGTCAACCCCCAAACCCCCCGAACCTCCCAAGCACCCTCTAGTATCAACCCCCAGGAACCCCCTAAAGAACACCACACCTTGGGCCCCAACTTATAGCCTAAGCCCTGGACGGGTACTTAGGGCAGGGCAAGCCCTAAAACCCTGAACTCTGAACCCTTAAACCTCAAAAGCCGAATCCCTAAACCCTGAACCCTATAAAGCCCTAAATCCCATAAAGCCCTAAACCCCTAAACCCTAAAATCCTGAACCCTGAAGCCCAAACCCGAAACCCTTTAAACCCTAAACCCGAAACCCTAAACCCTAAACCTACACCCCCCTTAAAAACCCCGAAAATGCCTCAATGCTCTGCACCATTCCGGTATCCAGCGTCCACTCCTGGCGTCGGGCTTTGAAACTTCTGGCAGCATGAGGGGGTTGGAGTTTAGCGTTTAGGGTTTAGGGTCTGGGGTTTGGGGTCTAGGATCTGGAGACTAGGGCAGCAGATGTCAGCACATCCCACGAGTCACAAATGAGCTCCAATTTGTGCTTCCAGGCACCCTCGTACACTAAACCGTAAAACTCTAAAACCCTGAACCCAAACACCCCCAGAGCCCTAAGACCTTATAACCCTATATGCGCTGTAACCTCAAAACCTGAGACCCTCATCCCGCAAACCCTAGTACCCCGTTGTAACAACATCAGCACCCTTCGCCGGATGAACATCCCCTAACAGTGAGCGTGAACCCTGAATCCTAAACCCTAAACCCTACAAGGAGTCCCCATTTAAGCGCCCATATTAAGGGACCATGCAGCTACCCTTAGACCGAAGCACGTTTAGGGTTTAGGGTTTAGGGTTTATGGTTTAGGGTTTAGGGTTTAGGGTTTAGGGTTTAGGGTTTAGGGCTTAGGGTTTAGGGTTTAGGGTTTAGGGTTTAGGGATGCGCTTCGAGGCATTTGGGGGGGAGGGGGGGGGGGGGGGGGGGGGGGGGGGGGGGGGGGGGGGGGGCGGCTCCTGGTTGCCCAAGGGCCCAGAGACGAGGAACTTCCCGACGAGGATCCAGTCCTCCTGCCTGATGGAGGGTTTACGGTTTAGGGTTTGGGGTTTAGGCTGGGGTTTAAAGTTTAGGGTTTAGGCAGGGTTCAGGGCTTAGAAGGTTTAGGGTTTAAGGTTCAGGGCCTTCCCCCTTTAGGGCTTCAGGGCTTCGCAGGGCTTACGGTTAAGAGACTCTCCAATATCCCTTGAGGAATGTGGGTAGTTTTCTAGAATTAGGGTCCCTTTTGACGTTCTTGTTCGAATGTTGCCGTATTATAAAAGGGCAATCATAAGGCCTTAGAGAATGAATATTAACATGAATGGTGTATGAAGATAAGAAACCTAAGGAGTCACTAAACCCCAAACCCGAAGCTCTAAACCCTAAACCCTAAACCCTAAGCCCTAAGCCCTAAACCCTGAGCCCCAAACCCAGCACCCAGCGACCGCTTTCGCTTGCTGAGCGCTTGCGTGCGTTGGGGGGATCCTCGGGAGCTACCGGGCCCGGGCTAGGGTTGAGGCTTTAAGGCTTTAGGGTTTAGGGTTTAGGGTTGAGGGTTAGGGTTTAGGGTTTAGGGTTTAGGGTTTAGGGTTTAGGGTTTAGGGTTTAGGGTTTAGGGTTTAGGGTTTAGGGTTTAGGGTTTAGGGTTTAGGGTTTAGGGTTTAGGGTTTAGGGTTTAGGGCGTGCCAAACGGGAGCGCGCTTTGGGAGCGCGCGGTAGTCTGCAGACCTACCCACCCCAAGACCGCCCACTTACAACTCTCAAGGAGTTAAGACCTTTTATTTCTTTACAAAGCATCACATGAGTCACTCACGCCCCTTTTTGGGGATTTCCACAAGGTGCGTGGACCAGGCGCAAAGCTGCAGCAGACGGAAACGAGGCAGGGCCCGTGAAGACAGCTTGGGTTGGCGCGAAGGGGCTATGAAGGGTGGGCCAGGAACAGACAAAGGCAGCGAGGCTCAGGGCCAAGGCCAGGGCCAGGCGAGGGCCAGGGTCAGGGTCAGGGCCAGGGCCAGGGCCAAGGCCAGGGGTCAGGGCCAAAACCAAAGGCCAGAGGGGTAGGGGTAGGGGCCAAACCCAGCAACCAGGGCCAGGGCAGGGGCCAGGCCAGGGTCAGGCCAGGGCCAGGGCCAGGGCCAGGGCCGCCAGGCCAACAAAACGGCCCCTGGTCCCCGGAGTTCAGCGGACGGGGGTTGGGGACTCAGGGGTCTCCAGGGGCCTTTCCAGGGGGCCTCCAATGCAGGAGCCAAGAATGTGTGCGGACAGCTTGGGGTTTAGGGTAATATAATATAATACAGAGACAACCTGGAGGGTAAGCCTGCCTGGAGGCCAGCTCGGTCGCCCGCCTGGGGCTCCCTCGCAGGGTCTCACTGAGCGCTCGACCCGCGCCCGCCTACCCCAAAAGAAGAGAGTGGGGTGGCGGGCGGGTTTAGGGTTTAGGGTTTAGGGTTTAAGGTTAAGGGTTTGGGGTTTGGGGTTTAGGGTTTAAGGAATCCTAACAACCCAAACAACCCCAAACAGCAAACCCTAGACTTGGGATCTTCCCCCTCATACTAACAGTCCTTAATAGGGATGATACTAGGGGTACTAAAACCCCCTCTTCAGGACCGGTAGTACAAGGGGGAACATCCCAACCCTCGACCCTAGGGTTTAGGGTTTAGGGTTTAGGGTTTAGGGTTTAGGGTTTAGGGTTTAGGGTTTAGGGTTTAGGGTTTAGGGTTTAGGGTTTAGGGGTTTAGGGCTGAGGGCTTAGGGTTTAGGGTTTAGGGTTCAGGGTTCAGGGTTGAGTAGGGTTTAGGGTTTAGGGTTTAGGGTGTAGGGCTTAGGGCTTAGGGCTTAGGGTTTAGGGTTTAGGGTTTAGGGTTCAGGGTTTAGTAGGGTTTAGGGTTTTTAGTAGGGTTTAGGGTTTTTAGTAGGGTTTAGGGTTTAGGGTTTAGGGTTTAGGGTTTAGGGTTTAGGGCTTAGGGTTTAGGGTTTAGGGTTTAGGGTTTACAAGCTCAGAAGAAGCAATCGCACCTGGTGCAGCGAGCATCGTCCAACGGCCAGGACTGGACACATCAGACGCGGACGTTTTCGCAGAGAGGTTTGGGGTTTAGAGTTTAGGGTTTAGGGTTTAGGGAAAAGGGTTTGGGGTTTAGGGTTTGGGGTTCAGGGTTTGAGGGTTTAGGGATTAGGGTTAGCCTATATATGCTCAAGGAGGGGCATGCCACTACAAACCGAATGATGTTCCTAAACCTTTCAAACCTCAGGCTTCGCACTTCGCCCCAAAGCCTACGACTGGAAGGGTTTAGGGTTTAGGGTTTAGGGTTTAGGGTTTAGCGTTTAGGGTTTAGGGTTTAGGGTTTAGGGTTTAGGGTTTAGGGTTTACTTATGACCGAAACCGCTGGTTCTGGTTGAACCCTACAAACCCTTAACCTCGAACCCTGAACCCTAAACTTAAGGGGTAGAAGAAGGGACCCTTAATCATATTCCCCTATATAACCCTTAACCTCGAACCCTGAACCCGACACCTTCAAAGCTGAGCCCTAAACCTTAAGCCCGTTCCCATGTTCTTGAAGCTGTGCTTAACCCTAACCCTAAACCCTGCACCCTAAAACCTGAACACCCACTCGAGGGCCGTAGACAAAACAAGCTTGTGGGTACAAAAGGGATTACTTAAAGGATCAGGGGACTTAGTATCTGGGGTTATAAGTAAGACATGTATACTTACAACTGCATATAGCCCGCAACGAAGGTACTTATAATACTGCTTACGAACCTCCAAGTCCCTAAACCCTAAACCCTAAACCCTAAACCCTAAACCCTAAACCCTAAACCCTAAACCCTAAACCCTAAACCCTAAACCCCAGAAGCGTCCATCATAGGGTAACATACCCACCCGACATGGCCCCGGAACCAAGCCTCACAGTAGCACACGGAGGTCACGCCCGCCTGTGGCGAAGCCAAAAGGCTTAGGGTGTAGGGTTTAGGGTTTATTGTTTAGGGTTTAGGGTTGAGGGTTGAGGGTTTAGGGCTTATACAGTTTAGATTTTAGGGTTGAGGGTTTAGGGTTTAGGGTTTAGGGTTTAGGGTTTAGGGTTTAGGGTTTAGGGTTTAGGGTTTAGGGTTTAGGGTTTAGGGTTTAGAATTTCAGGGTTTCGGGTGCGTTTGGGGCAGAAGTTAGAGCTCGAAAGCCTCAAGGCATCACGTGTTTACCCTAAACCCCCTAGGCGATGTTCGCTACTCCCTTGCTCTCCAACATCAATAGGTGCAACTGTAACTCGGTCATCATCTCTTCCATCTTGTCACCCTTGAGGGACAAAGACGTCTCGGCGGATGTGATGGTCTTTCGCTTCGCGCCACCACTTCCACCTAAGATGCCGGTAGTCATGATGCTGTTATCCACCAAGCACCACCCCCTAAACCCTAAACCCTAAACCCTAAACCCTAAACCCTAAACCCTAAACCCTAAACAGTTCTTCTCGCATAAATGAAAGTCATTTGCTCGGTCTGAGGTTGCAGCTTAGAGCTGGAAATCGAAATCCGGATGAAGGCTGTAACACTCCTCCAGGTACGTCGAAGCGATGCCATCACCATTCTTGAAACCTACTATAAGGGCCTGAATGATTAGAATAGTGTTTTGGGGGGCTATCAAGTATGTTTGTAATTATAGGGAACATAAGGGAAGACTACTAGCCCTAAACCCTAAACCCTAAACCCTAAACCCTAAACCCTAAACCCTAAACCCCACCTTCAGACCTGGGTTTGGGGTTTAGGGGCTTGTACGAAGCTAATCTGCAATAAGACTTGCTGCGACGTTGAAGCAGCTTGCGCACGACTTGGGGTTTAGGGTTTAGGGTTTAGGGTTTAGTGTTTAGGGTTTCGGGTTTGGGGTTTAGGGTTTAGGGTTTAGAGGGTGCTAAATATTGGGAGGGGGGGCGGGGGGGCAAATCTAAAGTGGACATGTATAAGTGGGGGCCACATGTAATACGATCCCCAAAGGATGATTTCCAAACAGATGCCCATGAAGAAAAGCAGTTAAATCATGCTCACGTTCACATGTCTATAAGTGAAACTTGCTGCTTGTGGTTGGCTTCAGACACTTAGTTGCTGAGTTCATAAGCCCCCAAAATTGTGTACACTTTCAGTTCTACAGGGGAGCATAGTATCCCGAAAAGTGTATTGTGTACTCATTCAGCTGCTAAGGGCATGCTTAGAACTTTCAAATCGCGAGGCCATCTCCTCCTTGCATGTTGCCAGCACTGCCGCTAAGCAAAAGCCCTAAACCTTGGGATGTTCTCCCTAATACTAACAGTCCTGAATAAGGATAATCGTGGGTTCAGGGTCGAGGTTGGGATGTTCCCCCTTACACCAACAGTCCTCAGTAGAGATCATAATACGGTGTACGACGGTGGATGGGGAGGGTGGCGGAATGCATACGGATGCCGGCCTCACAGTATTCCCGTTGTGCCTGTTGCAAGTAACTAAGTAGCCGACAGCCCTAAACCCTAAACCCTAAAACCGCAAGCAGCCACGCAACACGAAGGCCTTCAGCACAGTGATCCGGTGAGCCGGGTTGCCACCGTCCAGGATCAGCTCCTTCCGTTTCCACTTTATGCGGTTGAGGGTTTCGGGTTTCGGGTTCATGCATGGCCGTTCTTTTTTGGTTTTTTTGGGTTTAGGGTTTAGGGTTTAGGGTTTAGGGTTTCGGGGGAAGGGGGTTGGGTTTTGGGGCCATTGGGCCCCAGACCGATTCAGGCTCCGGGTGGCGTGTCTTGGCAAGCTTGGTGAACGGCTTTCTCAAAACAAAAACTCACCTGCGTGCTTCTGAGGCCTTTAGGGTTTAGGGTTTAGGGTTTAGGGTTTAGGGTTTAGGGAGGGTTTAGGGTTTAGGGTTTAGGGTTTAGGGTTTAGGGTTTAGGGCTTAGGGCTTAGGGCTTAGGGCTGAGAGCTTAGGGCTTAGGGCGTAGGGCTTGAGGTTTACGGATCCGCAACTCCTCGTTCACTTTGCTGGCGCGAGGGGTGCACCAGGAGCGGTTGACACAAAAGAGGCCGGCCTGGGTTATTGAGGGCTTAAAGGTTTTGGCATTGGGGCTTACGGTTTCGGGTTTGGGGGTTGCAGCTTTGGGGTTTGGCGATTGGGGGTCTTTGGGGTTCGGGGTGGTAGAGTCGAGGGGTTTGGGGTGGCTTGTATGAAGCTTGGGGTTTGGGATTCAGGGTTTAGGTTGCTTTGAGTTGTTGGTTCGTGCCCCCCCCCCCCCCCCCCCCCCCCCGCGCCCCCGCCCGCACCAACCAAAGCCATGAGCCCTTACACCCTGAACCCTAAACTCCTACACCCCTACACCCCCTTCACCCCGAACCCCGAACCCTAAACCCTAAACCCTTAAACCCTTAAACCCTTGTTAAGTTATCATTCCTAGGGGCTTCCCACAATCACATTTCGCTGCATTAGTGCGCGTTAGCGCGCTTTAGCGTTTGCACATTCGCAAAGCATCCCCCTGCATGCATGGACCTACTCAATTCTAGAGTGCTGTTATGGCTTTGGAGAGAACATCAAACCAAAACATGGCCCTGCAGACTTGAAACCTAAAATCGCACGAACCTTCAGGCCGCACATTGCTACAAAACTTCCGTGCTCTGGCTGCCCCCTCTCCTTTACACAATGTCGTCCGTGTTGCCGAAGCAGTGCCTCGGCTTCGGCCAGGCGCTGCCGCTTGGCAATGAGCTCTGCATCCCTAAACCGTAAACCCTAAACCCTAAACCCTAAACCCTAAACCCTAAACCCTAAACCCATCTTGCCCTTCCAGGGCGGGAGCCTGAGCCTCCTCAGCGCTCGGCGCTTTGGGCTTCAATTTGAGAAATCGCAACTCATACTTGCGCTTCTCTCCCCGACAAGGGCCCTCCTTCAGCTCTGCTTTCGCTGCGGCATTGGCCAGCACTGCTACCACGACCCCGCTTTTCTGATCGTAACTGCCCTTGTTTTTGAAGAAAGTTGTGATCACTTCGCTACCCACTGTAGTGGCAGTGGCCGCCTGAACCTCTGCCTTGAGCTGCTGGTCCTTCTTGTCGGGTTTAGGGTTTAGGGTTTAGGGTTTAGGATTTAGGGTTTAGGGTTTAGGGTTTAGGGTTTAGGGTTTAGGGTTTAGGGTTTAGGGTCCTGCTCCTTCTTTTCTGCCTCCTCGCTGCATGCCCGGATAACGGCGAGGTTTCTGGCAAACGTGCTTGGAACAAGTACCAAGCGGCAACTCCCCAACAAGCCTACACTTACACCCGAAGCCCACACCCTAAACTAGCCTTTGGGGATCCAGGGGCCTTGGATCCCCAAACCCTGCACCCCCAAACCCCCGAAATCCCAAAACTGGCACACATTTTTTGGAGCGGTGCGATGCCACACCTTTTGAAACAAAACACGGGAGCAAACCTAAAACCTCTAAACTCAACCCGTAAAGCCCTAAACCCGTGCACTCCTCAGTCCCTAAACCCTACATCCTGAATCACCAGACCTTGAACCCCAAAACTCTAAACCCTGAAACCCCCTCAACCCTCAAGTCCCTCGAAATTCAGCCCTAAACCCTCAAGAACCCTGAACCGAACAGAATCCCAAAACGAAAGCCAGAACCTGGGGGCCCCGGCCACGGTGGCCTCGTTCGGAATGAATCCGAAGCAGCCGTAAGCGTCAATGTCTCCGGTGGTCGCATCTTCCAGAATGACCTGGCAGTGCTCAGGGGCTTTGAGGGGGGGGTCTGAGGGTTTTAAGGTTGAGGGGTTTAGGGTTTAGGGGTTTAGGGGCTTAGGGTTTAGGGGTTGAGGGGTTTACGGTTTAGGGGGGGCTTTGAGAGGGGGGGTCTGAGGGTTTTAAGGTTGATGGGTTTAGGGTTTAGGGTTTAGGGGTTTGGGGTTTAGGGCTTAGGCTTTAGGGGTTAGGAGTTGGGGGTTAGGGGTTAGGGTTTAGGGTTTAGTGGTTCAGGTGGTCGAGGGTTTAAGGGTCCAAGGGTTTAGGGTTTAGGGTCTAGAGACTAAGGGTCGAAAGGCCTAGGCTTCGGGTTTAGGGGTTAGGGGTTCAGGGGTTTAGGTTCCAGGTGTTTGGGACTGGGTTCCGCACCCTGGAGACCTAATGAACCCTGACATTGGATCATATGCCCCACACTTCTCTAACCCTTCTTACTTCTTCGGGTTTAGGGTTTAGGATTTAGGGTTTAGAGTTTAGAGTTTAGGGTTTAGGGTTGAGGCTTTAGGGTTTAGGGTTTAGGGTATATGGAGTAAGCCGCTCTAGGCTTCATCTAGTGCCAAAGGGGGCGATCCATAAGGAAAAGTCCAAACAGTGGGGCTCGATCCTGCGGCCTAAGGCATGGACCAACTACACCAGGGTTTACATAGGGGTTAAGGTTTAGGATGTAGCGTTTAGGGTTTGGGGTTTAGGGTTTAGGGTTCAGGGTTCAGGGTTTAGGGTTTAAGGATTTAGGGTTTGGGGTTTAGGGCTCGGAAGCCTGGAATCTAGAAAGAAGCTCGAGCCCAATCAGCCAAATCTGTCACAGATGCAACTCGAACCCTAAACCCTGAACCCTAAATCCTAAGCCCTAAGCGGCCTTGATCATGGGCCCCATGGCATTCGTCCTGCGCGGCATCGGCGCTTCGGCCACTTCTTCCCTACACCCTGAAACCGAGACTTAGTCCCTAAACCCCAAAAATTTCCTAAACCCCAAAATCCTGGACCCTAAAACCTAAACCCTAAGCTGAAACCCCAAAAGCCCTGAAGCATGAACCCTACTCCCTAAACTTGAACCCAACAATCCTGAAACCCTGAACCCTAAACCCTAAACCCCTTCTTCCCTGGTGACTGCGGGATGCAAAAAACCACAAAGTCGGGGACATACGGCCGCCTGAATCCTACATCCCCACTCAGGTGTTGAGGGGACCCGGGTTTAGGCTTTAGGGTTTGGGGTTTAGGGTTTAGGGTTTAGGATTCAGGGTTCAGGGTTTAGGGTTTGGGGCGTAAAGGGGTTCTGCCCCCGAAGCACAAGCACCACGGCCCACAACCCACTGCTGGTCCCATTGGGGAGGTAGCCCGCCATCAGACTACCTCAGTCGACCAAAAGGTTTACGGCTTACGGCTTGCGGCTTACGGCTTACGGCTTAGGGTTTAGGGTTTAGGGTTTAGGGTTGAGGGTTGAGGGTTTAGGGTTTAGGGTTTAGGGTTTAGGAGACTGACATGTGTTGGGGGGTTAGGGTTCACAGCTTTGGGGGTACGAAATCCTAAACCCGAAGCCCGAAGCCCTAAGCCCGAAGCATCCTACACATGCCCGCGAGCAGAGCACGCCTTCGGAGCTCAGAGGATTTAGGGTACCAGCTCCCGGGACTCAGGGGTTTACTGGGTTTAGGTTTAGGGTCTTCTTATGCGAGAAGGCCCATGAATGAACCTCAAAACCAGCCTTGTTCGGGCCCTTTCGATTTGGGTAGGATCCCACCCTAAACCCTAAATCCCGAAACCCCAAATCCTACGCCTTGTGCGGGGTAGACGGGGTTACGACCTGCCAAGGGGCCATGGAGGTTGCTGGTCTTCGTGAGGTCGGGTGGGCCCAGGCGGATGATGTTGGGCCGGCTCATGACCTTTCTCCGGCGGTGTGTAGGTCTTGCGGGGCTTTCGGGCTTGGGGTTTAGGGCTTAGGGTCCCCCTTCAGGGTTTAATCCAAACCTAAACCCTAAACCCTAAACACTAAACCCTAAACCCTAAACCCTTATAACCTACTTACAGGTCTTTTCAGCCTGAGCAAGCCTAAGCACTCACGTCTAAGCCACAAAGCCTCGACCCGTTTAAGTCTGCGCTCGAAAGCCTTCAGCAGCAACGAAAGTACAGGCTGCGGGTTCCGGATTTCGAGCTGAGGGGTTTAGGGTTTAGGGTTTAGGGTTTCGGGTTTAGGGTTTCGGGTTTAGGGTTTAGGGTTTAGGGTTTAGGGTTTAAGGCTCCGGGTTTGGAGCCCAGTTGTTGTTGGGGGGTGCGGTCCGAGGTTCAGACCTTCCCAAACACTTGTGCTCCACACAACATCTCTCAGAAAAGACACAAAGAGACCACGGTTTGGGGTTTAGGGTTTAGGGTTTAGGGTTTAAGGTTTAGGGTTTAGGGTTTAGGGTTTAGGGTTTAGGGTTTAGGGTTTAGGGTTTAGGGTTTAGGGTTTAGGCTTCCAGCCCCGAGTTTTGGGGGGTTAGGGCTGTGGGGTTTAGGAATTTACCGACTCAGGGCTTTCTCACTTAGGGAATCAGAGATTTAGGGGCTGCAACTGCAGCACAATACCCTTAAGCCTTAGGCCCCAAACCAAAGCCATGCACCCTTAAATCCCTGAACTCTCAACTCCGTAAACCTCGAAACCCCTAGGCCTTAAGTCCTAAACCGACTCAACTAAAACCCATAAACCTCTAAACCTTGAACCCTCGAAACCCTTAAACCCTAAGCCGACTCAAGTAAACCTTAAATTGAACCCTGACGTCTCTAAACCCTAAACCCTCAAACCGTCTGAGCCTCTAAACCCTGAACTTTTAAAGACCCGTGAATTTCTAGACTCTAAAAGGACCGGACACCTAAACCCCAAACCCGAAACCCTCACACGTCTAAACCCCCAAGCCCTACACCCTCCATACCTTGAATGCCTAAACTCTGCGCCCTACAACCGCTATACCTTCAAAGCCTAAACCCTGCACCCTTCAACCTCTGAAAGCCCTTAAACCACTAAACCCTGAACCTCGAAATACCAAACCCCAAACCCTGAAACGCTAAACCCTCAAACCCCAGCCCCCTGAACCCTAAACCCTAAACTACTCTAAAACCCTAAACCCCAAACTGCCCTAAACCCTTAACCCTAAACTAGCCTATGCCCTCAACCCCAAGCTACCCTAAACCCTAAACTACCCACCCTAAACCCCTACATTCCTCTAATCCTAAACCCTAAACTGCCCAAACCCTAAACCCTAAACTCCAGGGCCCCCAAAAGGCCCAGCGGCCCAGGTGTCTGTTCCGTAGAGCCACAGGGGCTCCACCACGATCTGGCCCACCTCCAGAAGGCTACATGCCAGGTTTAATTAGGGTTCAGGGTTTGGGGTTTGGGGTTTAGGGTTTAGGGTTTGGGGTTTGGGGTTTGGGGTTTAGGGTTTGGGGTTTGGGGTTTGGGGTTTGGGGTTGGGGTTTAGGGTTTGGGTTTGGGGTTTAGGGTTGGGGGTTAAGGGTTTAGGGTAAGGGTTTAAGGGTTGGGTTAGGACCCAAGCCCTAATCCTCTAATAAGAGCCCATTCCTGCACAACTCCTGACCTCAGCCACGAGACTCCCTCAACCCGAGACGGAGTCTAAGGGTAGTTACATGGTCCCGAACCCTAAACCCTAAACCCTTAAAAAGGGGACCCCTTACAGGATCCCAGACCCTACACCCTCAAGCCCCAGACTCCCCAAAACCCTCACCAAATCCCTCAAATTCACACAATAACACCAGCAACATCTAGGGTTTAGGGTTCAGGGTTCAGGGTTTAGGGTTTAGGGTTAGGGTTTAGGGTTTAGGGTTTAGGGTTTAGGGTTTAGGGTTTAGGGTTTAGGGTTTAGGGTTTAGGGTTTAGGGTTTAGGGTTTAGGGTTTAGGGTTTAGGGTTTAGGGTTTAGGGTTTAGGGTTTAGGATAACACATTTCTAGAAACTCAAGAAAGCAAACAATAAGCAGCAGAAGCAGAAAGGATGTAGTAACAAAAACGGTGAAAGTGTGCATACGCAACAGACAGACCACAAGCAGCAAGATGGATTCCATCATGTGAAAAAACGGTCCGAAACCCCACACCCCATATCACAAACGCGAAACTCTAATCCCTACTGCCTAAACCTTAAACCCTGAACCCTAAACCCAAAACCCTGATACCCAAACACTAAACCCCACACCCTAAACCCTAAACCCCAAACCTCAAACCCTAAACCCCAAACCCTAAACCCTAAACCCCAAACCCTAAACCCCAAGCCCTAAACCCTAAGCCCCAAACCCTAAACCCCAAACCCTAAACCCCAAACCCTAAACCCCAAACCCCAAACCCCGAGCCCTAAACCTCAAACCCTAAACCCCAAACCCCAAACCCTAAACCCCAAACCCTACACCCTAAACCCTAAACCCCAAACCCCAAACCCTAAACCCCAAACCCTAAACCTCAAACCCCGAGCCCTAGACCCTAAACCCCAAACCCTAAACCCTAAACCCCAAACCCCACACCCTAAACCCCAAACCCCAAACCCCAAACTCCAAACCCCAAGCCCTAAACCCTAAACCCTAAACCCCAAACCCCAAACCCTAAACCCCAAACCCCGAGCCTTGAAGAAGAGCCGCGTCGACTCCTGGAGGGCGTCGTCGTCGTAGGGGAGGAACCTGGGCGTTCGGGTTTAGGGTTTAGGGTTTAGGGTTCAGCATCTCAAGTCCGAGCATTCACTAGTCAAGCAGCTTGTCAAGCGTTGGAAAAAAACCCACCCACCCAAGAAACCCATAACATTGAGAAGATACAAAGTTCACTCAATACATTCCCAATAGGCTTAAAATCTAACTCTCAACCCTACCAGCCCCAAGCCTCAAATGCTTTCAAACCTGTGGCGGGGGGATGGGGATCCTGAAACCGGTGAAAGCTCGGTTTTGGTCAAAAATCCAGAAAACGAGAAGCCACTCAGAACCGTCAATTTCAGTACTAAAAAATCGAATTTTCATTGCGGGTCCAGGCCAAGTTTGGGGTGTTTTTGGAGGCAAACTTTCCCGCTCAAGGGGGGGTCGGAGTTCAGCCGACTTTTGAGGCCAAAATTCACCGTTGCCGACTTTTGAGGCCGAAATTCACCGTTGCCGACTTTTGAAGCCGAAATTCACCGTTGCCCACTTTTGAGGCCGAAATTCACCGTTGCCGACTTTTGAGGCCGAAATTCACCGTTGCCGACTTTTGAAGCCGAAATTCACCGTTGCCGACTTTTGAGGCCGAAATTCACCGTTGCCGACTTTTGAGGCCGAAATTCACCGTTGCCGACTTTTGAGGCCAGGAAATTCACCGTTGCCGACTTTTGAGGCCAGGAAATTCACCGTTGCCGACTTTTGAGGCCAGGAAATTCACCGTTGGCGACTTTTTCGGCCAGGAAATTCACCGTTGCCGACTTTTGAGGCCGAAATTCACCGTTGCCGACTTTTGAATTAGGGTGTAAATTCATTATGATAGAGAGGTTTAGGGTTTAGGGTTTAGGGTTTAGGGTTTAGGGTTTGGGGTTTGGGGTTTAGGGTTTAGGGTTTAGGGTTTAGGGTTTAGGGTTTAGGGTTTATGGTTTAGGGTTTAGGGTTTAGGGTTTAGGGTTTTAGGGTTTAGGGTTTAGGGTTGAGGGATTAGGGTTTAGGGTTTAGGGCTTAGGGCTTAGGGCTTAGGCTTAGGGCTTAGGGCTTAGGGCTTAGGGCTTAGGGCTTAGGGCTTAGGGCTTAGGGCTTAGGGCTTAGGGTTTAGGGTTTAGGGTTTAGGGTTTAGGGTTTAGGTATTAGGGAACCCCGAGCCAGGCCATAACTTCTAGGGTTCAGGGTTTGGGGCTTAGGGTATAAACCCTTGTTCCGAAAATCCTACTTCCTGAACCCTAAACCTCCCAACCCGAAGAGGTGCTTTCACGGCCTTCCTGACCTAAGGGTTCAGGGCTTTAGGGTTTAGGAACCCTGAACCTGAACCCTGAACCCTAAACCCTAAGCCCTTCAGGGCCTAGAGCCTTTTCGGATGTAAGCCTTAGGGACTTAGGGGCCTAATATAGGGGCCTGAATGACTGCAATAGGGTTTTCGGGAGTTTTTAGCGTATAACTACAAAAGGACCATAAGGGAACACCAACAGTAATGATACCGACCCCTATAGTAGGGGGCTTCGGGCCTTGAGGGTAAGTAAAGACCTTAAACCCTAAACCCTAAACCCGAAACCCGAAACCCCAAACCCTAAACCTAAACCTTAAACCCTAAAGGCTTCGAGGGTTAGTAAGGAAACTGAAGGAGATCCACAGCTTGGGTGCCCGCGGCACGCGGGCATCCAAAGATTCCACGTCTTTAGGGTTTAGGGTTTAGGGTTTAGGGTCTAGGGTTTAGGGTTTAGGGTTTAGGGTTTAGGGTTTAGGGTTTAGGGTTTAGGGTTTAGGGTTTAGGGTTTAGGGTTTAGGGTTTAGGGTTTAGGGTTTAGGGTTTAGGGTTTAGGGTTTAGGGTTTAGGGTTTAAGGTTTATGGTTTAGGGTTTAGGGTTTAGGGTTTAGGGTTTAGGGTTTAGGGTTTAGGGTTTAGGGTTTAGGGTTTAGGGTTTAGGGTTTAGGGTTTAGGGTTTAGGGTTTAGGGTTTAGGGTTTAGCGTTTAGGGTTTAGGGTTTAGGGATTAGGGTTTAGGGTTTAGGGTTTAAGGTGTAGGGTTTATTTTGGGTTTAGGGTTTGGGGTTTAAGGTGTAGGGTTTAGGGTTTAGGGTTTAGGGCTTGGGCTTTGGGGTTTAGGGTTTAGGGTCTAGGGCTGAAAAGCCCGGAACGCTGAAATTGCTGAAGGGATCTAGCGCCCCCTTAACCTGAAACCCAAAACCGAAAGCCTAAACTCTTTCCAAACTACTTGAGCACATGAGGCAACATGTTGACTTGAGGGGTGGCCTTTGGGCCAACGTCAAAAATGGACGGAATGGTTCAGGATTTAGGGTGTAGGGGTGCAACCCTAAACCCTAAACCCTAAACTAAAATACCCTCAACCTAACTCTAAACCATAAGCCCGGGTGCTTGTCGACATTCAGTTTGTCAATGCCCGGGTCCTCACTGAGGCTACACACACAAAAGCCCCTAAACCCTAAACCCTAAACCCTAAACCCTAAACCCTAAACCCTAAACCCTAAACCCTAAACCCTAAACCCTAAACCCTACGCACACAAAAGCTCGGAGCAGGAGCAAGTACCAGGGGCTGCTTGTAGGGATCTTGGATGATGATTGGGACCAAACCCTGAGCCCTAAACCTTAAACCTTAAACCCTAAACCCCATACCCTGAACCAAAACACCCTAAACCCTAAGCCCCAAACCCTAAACCCTAAACTCCTAACCCCGAATCCCGGCAGAAAGCAGTGGCGCCCCGTCGGGACAACAGAGTAGTTGTCGTCGTAGAAGTTGCGGCAGGAATCCCCTCCCCCTAAGATTAACCCCAAAATACTACATACTCCCCATATACGACAGTACAACTAAAATGGGTTTTCTATATTAGGGGGTAAGGGGAGGGGAGTAGTCGTAGTAGCAGTAGCAAGCAGTCGGCGTCGGAGGGAGATTAAGAAAGAACGAATAAAACACTGGTAAGGATCATAGAAACAGTAATACTAATCATCATAATGATCAAGAATAGAACTATAGCCATAATAAGACTGAAAAGAATGATGTTTAGAATAAAAGCGTTAATGTCTGAATTCCCTCACCCATCTCCCGCCCGGCCCCATCCACTCCCATCTCGCAACCCAGCATCAACAAAAAACTGAGAACCCTAAACCCTGAACCCTAAACCCGAAGCAGTGCCGGCCTTGTGCACAAAGCAGATGTCAAAGAACTGGGCCACGCCCGCCTAGGAGGATTGAAGTTTTAGGGGTCCCAGGGGGTTAGGGCGAGGGCTTGGGAGGTTACAGCTCAGGGTTTTTAAGCTCTAGGAGGGCACCTTGATGTGCTATTTCGGGCATTCATTGAGGGGTCAAGGCTTTGGGGGTTTGTGTTTCTGGGCTTTGGGTTTGGGAGAGCTGCTCATCAGAATGCACAAACGTTTGTTCAATAGGTTTCTGGGTCCTTCGGTGCGTTTGGGGTTTTGGGTTTAGGTTTTTGGCTTACGGAATAAAGATCTTTGCTGTTTTTGTTTCTGAGCTGGTGCGTTAACTTTTTTCGCCGGCTGCAGAGTGTGTACATATATATATATATATATATGATTCAGCCCCGGCGGGCCCCCCCCCCCTACCCCCCCCCCCCCCCCCCCCAATGGTACCCCCCCCCCCCTGTGGTGTGGTTGGGGGTTGGTTTTAGGGTTTTAGGGTTTAGGGTTTAGGGTTTAGGGTTTTAGGGTTTTAGGGTTTTAGGGTTTAGGGTTTAGGGTTTAGGGTTTAGGGTTTAGGGTTTAGGGTTTAGGGTTTAGGGTTTAGGGTTTAGGGTTTAGGGTTTTCCCCGCGGATGGGGTACTAAGATGATCCCCCCCCCCCTGTGGTGTGGTTGGGGGTTGGTTTTAGGGTTAGGGTTTAGGGTTCAGGGTTTTAGGGTTTAGGGTTTAAGGTTTAAGACTTAAGGTTTAGGGTTTAGGGTTAGGGTTTAGGTTTTAGGGTTTAGGGTTTAGGGTTTAGGGTTTAGGGGTTTAGGGTTTAGGGTTTAGGGTTTAGGGTTTAGGGACCGTAGAGTAGCTTGGGGGGGGGGATGGGGGGGGGGGGGGGGCCCAGGACGCTCGACGCTGAACCATATATATACATGTGTGTGTGCATGTGTCTAAACTGCACCTGGTGATACCGACCTTCTTCTGAATTCTATTCGATGAAAAATTTAAGTCGGATCGTGATCATCACAACAACAGGTTAGAGAATTCACAAATTCACGTGGAAACTTCCTGAAAGAAGGGGAACTTCGACTCTACATACCCCCAAAACTTGTCCACCCAACAAAAACCAAAAAACAATCACTGCCCAAACCCTGAACCCCAGAATCGTCTCCTCTTCGACCCTAAACCCTAAACCCTACACCCTAAACCCTAAACCCTAAACCCTAAACCCTAAACCCTAAACCCTAAACCCTAAACCCTAAACCCCACGTTGTAGGGGATCTGGGCCCTTCATTTGAGCTCATTGGAGTCCCCTGTTGTAGAACCCTTATCTACACTGTATGTAGTAACGGCCCATACTTCGGATCCCGTGAAATCCCTTGAAACAAGGGTAAGGGACCACGTTAAGGGCCCATACTCAATACTACCCCCCCGCCCCTTAAATAACATTACCTAGGCTTTTCCCTAACCTAGGCGGGGGGGGAGTATAGAGGGGGGGTAGTAGGGGAACCCTAAACCCTAAACCCTAAACCCTAAAGGGGGGGTAGTAGGGGAACCCCATGAACAATTAGGCCCAGCCACGTTGTCCGAATCCACCTTCGGGAGGAAGCGCACCGAATCGAAGCCGAAGATCCTGCCGCGAGGTGGTGCAGGGTTTAGGGTTTAGGGTTTAGGGTTTAGGGTTTAGGGTTTAGGGTGTAGGGTGTAGGGTTTAGGGTTTAGGGTTTAGGGTTTAGGGTTTAGGGTTTAGGGTTTAGGGTTTAGGGTTTAGGGTTTAGGGTTTAGGGTTTAGGGTTTAGGGTTTAGGGTTTAGGGTTTGGGGCTTATACAGTTTGGAGTTTAGAGTTTAGGGTTTAGGGTTTAGGGTTTAGGGCTTCTAGAGTTTAGGGTTTAGGGTTTAGGGTTTAGGGTTTAGGTTTTAGGGTTTAGGGTTTAGGGTTTAGGGTTTAGGGTTTAGGGTTTAGGGTTTAGGGTTTAGGGTTTAGGGGAATTTCCATTTTTTGCTAGGGGCTGTATGACTTTGGGGGCTCAAGAGCTGCGAGCGGTGATGTTTGGGACTTTGGGACTTGGGGCTTGGTAAGGGCATTTGGCTTACGGTTTAGGGGTTCGGGTTTAGGGTTTGTGTTTAGGGTTTGTAAAGGTTTAGGGTTTAGGGTTTAGGGTTTAGGGTTTAGGGTTTAGGGTTTAGGGCTTAGGGCTTAGGGCTTAGGGCTTAGGGTTTAGGGTTTGCGGTTTAGGGTTTAGGGTTCAGGGTTCAGGGTTTAGGGTTTAGGGTTCAGGGTTGAGGCCCTACCGGCAACGGGATCAACGATCCTCGGCTTCCGACATGGCCACAGGCCATGCAACCGGCTGCCAAACCATTTGAAGAATCAGGGCTTTTGGGTTTAGGGTTTAGGGTTTAGGGCTTAGGGCTTAGGGCTTAGGGCTTAGGGCTTAGGGCTTGGGGCTTAGGGCTTAGGGCTTCGGGCTTAGGCTTAGGGCTTCGGAGGAGGGGTTTAGGGTGCAGGGAAACCCCCCCCAGAATTGCGCGCCCCCAAAGCCTCTCAGATCCAAATCATGAGCTGTGGGCCTAAACTTTGGGTTCAGGGTTGAGGGTTGAGGGTTAGGTTCAGGGTTTCGGGTTTAAGGTTAAGGGGTTTCGGGCTTGGGGCTTAGGGCATAGGGTTAGGGGGTGCATCATATTAAGGAATTCACCCTTAAAACCTTAAGCCCTAGACCCTGAGCTCTAAGCCCTTGCAAGGGCCAGCTGATTAGGATAACCAAGTCCGGTCGACTTCTCCGTCATCGATGTACCACCAGGGGCCTCCCAGGATTCCTAAACAAAAAAACCCCTAACCCCTTAACGCCCCAAACTCTAAACCTTTAAGGCTTCGGGAAGTTTAGGGCCTGGGGTCCCAAACCCCTAACCCCAAAACCCTAGACCCCTATGTGGCATGGACCTTTAGGTATCATTTGGAAATTCCTATGGGCTCACAAGATTTCCATAGATTTTTATCTTCAAGGTTAGGGTATGTTTGGGACTGTGCAACATTGCAAAGTTTCAGTGGTTTGTGTGTGGAGTAAAAAGGTTTACTTGCAGCTCCAAAACCCCAAGAAGCCCTACAAAACTATGCAAGGGAGTGAAGCGGAAGTGTTTGACTGCGAAGAGCTGCAGTTCCCTCAAACATGTGACCAACGGCCGTGTGAGAGCTCTCCGCAAAGCCTTTCTATCTTACTGTTGGTTAGTAGGGAATGAGGGAATGAGGCACCCGATATCTCCCTAGATATACCGTTTAAGGGGATTATAGGGTACCTCATTCCCTCATTCCCTACTAACCAACAGTAAGCCATCCGACATCATCCCTTGCAAGAAGCCCTACAAGCCCCCATCAACCCTAAGGTGTAAAGTCCAGGGATCTCTAAACCCTGGACCCTTAAACTCGAAACCCTAAACCTTAACCGGCTTGGGGTTTAGGGTTTCAGGGTTTGTTTCACAAGGTTGACAAAAGTGCAACCCGAAGATGTGGCCGAAATGTAACCAACGGCTCACATCATCTGTTGCAAGAAGCACTAGAGGCCCCTATCAACCATAAGGTGTACAGTTTACGGATCTCTAAACCCTAGACCCTAAACTCTAAATTCTTAAGCCCTAGACCCTAAACCTTAAACCCTAAACTCTAAACTCTAAACTTGAACCCCCCGCTTTAGGGTTCAGGGTTTCAGGGTTTGTTTCTAGATGGTAGCCAGAAATGTCGCTACTTTAGCAAATGTCTGAAACTGTGGCCCAGAGCACAAGCGCTTCTATATGCCCTCACTTGAAGTTATGGTCTAAGAAGAGTATCGGGCTTGGTTGGGATGCTGGCGAGATGGCTGGCGGGTTGCCAGAGCGAACCTAGAATTACGCTGATTTCGCTTACGAAACACTTCCTTTGCATTAACGTGGCCGTAGCTTCCAAAGGTTTTAGCTTTAGGGGCCTAGGGCCGAAGCACGCTTGAATTGCTTTGCTTGAACATTGTTTGTGGCTTGGACAACTGCTTTGCTGAGCTGTCGCAGAGCTTGTCGCGGGGTTGTGGCGCCTTGTCGCAGGCCTGTTACGGAATGGCCCAGAAAATCCAGAGCTTCGAACTCTCGCTCATGTGCACAACAGCACCTCAACCTCACAAGATGTTAGATAAGCACGAAGGCCTTGTCCCAGAGGGTTTGTCGCGTGGTGGCACCGGGGGGCCTGTTAGACAAGCCAAACATTTTGACTTGCAGCCAGATTTCGTGGCGGTCCATGCTTGCAGCCTTTCGGCTTTCCTGCCTGCCTTTCGCGGAAGTCCCAAGATGCGCTGGCCCCGCCTCTTCCTGGAGCGCTCCGTGGCAGTCGAAGATCGCGTCTTCAAGACGCTGAGCGGGCGCCCGCCACTGCGCCGTGGCTTAAAAATGAACCCGTGGTCTGGGACCTGCGAGTCCTTTCCCGCTTTGGCCAACCGCAGCAAGTCTGCAAACTTGTTGGCGACAGCTTGGTGGGACAGCCTTGTGCGCTTGGCATGGCCGTTTCTGGCGAAGCGGGCAGAGATCCCTCCGGGCTTCGCTTTGAAGGCGCCGCCCTTCTTGCACTTATCGACCACCAGCAAACGGTAGCGTGCAATGCGTCCGCCGTCTGCCAAACACAAAGCTGTCCGCTCAATGTCCTCTGTTATGTCCGAAATTCGCGGGTGGCACTTCAATGATCTGCGGGCTGTGAACCCGAACAACGCGCCATAGACCAAGCCAGGGACACTGATCATTGTCAGCCTGTCCTCAATTGAGTACTGGTCTGCGTATCCAGCGAATTGCTCGATCCTGTCTGCCAGGGATTTACCCCAAAGCTCGACATCTTCTGGAGGGCGGCTGCTTGTTCTGATGTGGGCTTGGGGCGAATTCCCCCCTGCGTTCAGGGCGTTTGTGACAGGACATGTGTTTATAGCTTCTTATGCAAAGGAGATAAGGCCCGAACTTCTCTGGTGCACATAACCCCCTTGAATGCACAGATTTGGTATCGTTGGCGTACGCTCATCAATCCGTCGCAGGCGTGTGCATGCGTTGTATA